GAACTTGATTTGATTCATTTAGACCCATATCAAATAACTTTTAGTGTCGTTGGATTCATCTCAAAAAAATTTTCATTAAAACTATAAAATTGCCAATATAAAAAGTTCATACAATCCAGAATTTAATTCCAGAAATTTGAAATTTAAATATTATATCAAGATTCATGCTTTCATATGAATTTCCTTATGATTATAAGGGACAAAGAAAAGTTTTAGCACTTTTAATTGATATATATATATATATATTCTTAGAATACCCTCAATAAAGGAAAAAAAATACCTTAAGCATTAAGGCATCTTGACACGTTTTTAAGAATCGCCTGCTAGACGCTAACATTTTACATTTTTACCCTCAAAGAAATCCCACCACAGCACGTTCTCAAGTCAGTTCAGTCTCCACTTGGCCCCCACTTTTCTCTCTCTTTTTTGTTTTTTTACTTTAATAAGGAGGGAAATGTCATTATAGCATATATCCATCACAATTAATATTTTAAAAAAGGTATATTCTTATGATTATGGAAATGTACTCATATGAGAATGTGGATCAAAATAGATTAATTATTTTGTATGGGGTGGTTCAGAGATCAATCAGAATGCATCACGTTATTTATGTGCTCGATACTGATCGGTAACGCAGCTCAATACCACTAATGTGATGCATTCTGGTTGGTCTCCGGATAGCGCTCTAAACCTGGTCTCCGCACATAATAATTTCACCTGCAAATAATTCCATGCATTCAAACAAATTATTCCTAATTTAGCTCTATTAAATTTTATGTATAATCATTTATATATTTTATAATTATGAGATAGATAAATGAATAAATTTGAAATTTTTGATATTTCATTTATTTATAACCATGAATAATATCAATTGGCTGCTTCTTAATATGCTCGATATGGCTTGTTTTAATATGCTGCTTGGTTGTGTTACTCATTAATAGGCTCAAGAACATCATTTAATTAACTAAAGAGTTAAGCTCAAACCATCATAATTTTAATTTTTAAATGAATTGACTTTAACTAGTAGTGCAACTATTTGAATCGAGCTAGCTCGAGCTCATGCTTGAAAAAAGTTTTGGCAAAAATGAGGTCAAGCTCAAAGAAGCTATGCTCGGGTCGGCTCGATTTATTTGCAACAATCTATAAAGAGATATTGGCACGCCCTTAAGGTTATAATTTAAGCGAAATCTCTTATTATAATGTATATCTAGTTACCAATAGAAACTTCCATTTAGCTTTGTAGATTAATTGAGCCTAGCTCGAGTCACTCAAAGCTTGAGTTTAAGCTTGATTAATTAATAGAGCTTGAGATCGAACTCGAGCTTAATCATAAGAGTTTGAGCAAACTCATGAGATAAATCATTTATTTTCAAAGGGAGAATTTGCTTATAATTCAAGCAAATATTATAATGAAATGGTAAAAAGAACGAGAAATTAGAAAAATAATAATGAAAATTAATTTATATAAGAAAATAAGATATAATTTATAAATATTTTTAACAACTTTGTAAACTTTGTACTTAAAATTCTAAATACTGATATATCTTAAGTGTATTTTATATTCATATTTTTTAAACATGCCAACTTACGAGCTAACTAGTTAAGTCAGGGTTGGCTCAAACTTGACTAATAGCTCGTCGAGCTCGACTCACGTGCCGGCATGACTCACTTACACCCCTAGCGTATTTAGATTTATATGATTACTAAGAAATAATTCAAAGATGTGGCATGAAATATATTTATTTAATAATATCATGGACAGGAAACAAGATAACCCATTAGCTTGAAAAGGAGCCCCACTTGTTGTCTTGTAGTTCTTTTGTAAAAGCAGTAGGCTTTTGAGACCTTATGAGTTGAGTGAAACTCCCAAAATGAGTCTTTATTATGGATTCTGCAACCTTCTTCTGTCTTCTTCAAGAATGCAATGAAGCATATCCACAAGCACCTTGTATTCATGCCCAAGCAGATTTTGAATAAAGATTGAACCTTTGTGAATCTTCAAGCTTGTGGCACCAATCTGGTTGTGCGTAGCAAAAGACCAGTAGTGCTTTATTATAAAAGAGACTTTGGCAACCAATATCTATAAGAAATGAGCAGACAAGTATAAAACAAAAAGCATTGTTTGTATAAGGACAAGTCAAATACAAATGGGGTATGAAAGGAAGAAGTCTCTTTGATGGCAAAAAAATAATTATAAAAGGTGGAGTTTTCAAGGTGGCATGTGTGGGAAAATAAGCCATTATTTTAAATTTGTTATTTTTTTGAATCCCTTATATTATGGTCTTGCCTTTTCAGTTGGGTAAAGTAAGTGTGGGCCCAATGCCGATGGGTGGCCTCGCTAGGTTCTGTCCAGAGATCAGTTACTCTGCCAAGTGCTCCCTTCGGAGTTGCAGCGGGTAGATACCCCCTTTCCAAAAAAAAAAAAAATTCAAATAAGACATTGAAAAATAACATACTTTTTTCACAAAATAGAAATAATATTCTATAATGAATTTCAAAATAAAATTAGAGTTTTGAAAAATGTTCATATTCTCAAAGATTTATACCTTCTCATATGAATAAGATAAAGTTTATTTTATTATGGGTACATATTCCGCATAAATGAAAACACTTATGGTTAATTACATCCCAAAAGAGATGAGTCTTCTGAGAACACTATCAATTTAAAATAGCGGAAAATATTTTTAAAACTTTCAAGTTTTAGACAATATGTATTTTTAGAATTTTTAAATAGGATTAGATCAATTTCGATCAGTCCTTTATAAAAGTAAAAGGATTAAGACTACAAGAATATAGAGCACTGCATTCTGAGAAGTTCAAAAGCACTACGAAGTACAAACTATCTTATATTGGACTTAATATTTTCTAATTAATTTTTTTCTTCTAATTAAATAGTTAATTAATATTTACTGCTATAGCTTTGTTGGAACATGATTTATGTCCATAATTACTTGATTGAAACAAGCACAAGATGGTTGTATGGCAGTAGCTTTTCTAAAGTTGCTTTAATGACTATAATTACCTTCCACTACCAATTTGTTATTAATCATGCAAGGCTTGACTGTTAACATCAAACTATCTTTAATCGAATAATATCTTAGACAATTAAGCTAATGACAAGGTCGCCATTTCATGCCCTAATTTTAATTAATTACTTAGCCTCTTACAATGCTATGATTGCAGTGAAATGCACCAAATCCTACTTTTCTTCACAACAATAGGTTCTTCCAAAATTTCTAATTTATTTGAAAAAGCTTCTTTCTACTAAGGTTTCATTTGAGATAATTTTATCACTATTTTCTAAAGCAATTTTCTAGTAAAAAAATTTTTTAGTTCAAGAAATTTTTATACTGATAAGCTCCTTTAGAATGTAGTAATAAATCTATCACAAATGAAGTCTTAAATCACTTATTGCTTAATTAGCCACTTCTTAATTTGCTTTTCCACCCACAATAATTGCACAACATGCCATCTAAGACTTCGTTTGGGATGATTTTCTTATTGCTTCTTAAAGCAGCTTTCAACAAAATATTTCTATACTAGAAATTTTCTTTAAGAAGCAGTAGAAAGCCGTCCCAAACGAATTAAGCCTAACTTTTTTTCACTCTAAATCTTAACTAGGGATATGAGTAAGTTGAATAGGGTTTAAGTTAATAAATAGCTTATGAACCGCACTTGCTGAGCTAGTCTTGATGTGATTCATCAGTTCGTGGCCGACTTTTTTTTTTTTAAATATATATGAATGTAAAATATATTAGAATTTAAATATTTAAATATAAAACTATTAAAAAAGAATTAAATTTTTCATGTTGCTTACTTGTCTCAACTAATTTCTTATTACTCATATAATTTTATTATAATAATTATTTAAATTAAAATCATTTTCTTTTTATAACTAATTTAGAATTTCAGATATCTCTGAATATTCTCTATGGGGAGAATATATTCGAATATTCATTGTATCAACTAAAGTTTCGAACTCATCAACCATAATAGAATTTATGTTGAACAAAAGAATTGGAGTCCTTCAAAAAAAAAAAAAAATAGAATTTTTTTTCCTCATGCTCTTTACAGAAAGTTATTATAAGGCGGTTTTCTAAGTTGAATTTTAATTTTTATAAGTTTGTAGGTATTAAAATAGAATTATTTATAAAAATATGAGGTTCTGCTTTTGAATCCGATTACTCTCGCATTTCTTTTATATTGTATTTCTTTTACATTATATTTCTTTAAAATTGTATTTCTTTTATACTGCATTTTTTTTTACCAACCAAACAGTTTCTTAGTGATTCTTTTTAAAAATATTTTAGCTGGTCTTTTCTTCTGTCTATCTCTTGTTCTAACATTTAGATGTGTATTATAAAGATGATTTTGCATATGCCAAGAATTTTGTTCGCTGCATTAATATGTTTATTTGTGTGACAAACTAATACAATTTGTATGTCACATGTAAGAAAAATTTCAATCCTTGCTCTTAAATCCTCTGATATTTTATTTTGTGATAAGTGATTATTGGAACCACTAATATTAAAGCTTCGATTGAGACAACATTTTCATTGCTTTTCAAAATAGTTTTTAGTATAAAATTTATAATTCGAAAAAAACAATTTAACAAAAAAGTTGTTTTAGAAAGTACTAAAAAAACTGTCCCAAACGAAGCCTAATTCACCCTCTAACCTCTTAAAGATTGATACTAGAATTAAAGAGTGATATATATTTCTAAATATTTACCCCACCGAGCTTAGCTGAGTAGTTGACAGGCGAGCGTGGTTGGGAACCCCCCATTACATATTTGATTCCTCTCTCATGAGGCACAACTCCTTAAATAGGGAGAAAATAACTGAGTGACTCTGCACCTGTGGGGTTGATTATTGACAGGCCCACCGAGAAATTAGTATTAGTTACGCCGTCATACGTCCCATTTAAAAGTGGCAGCAGATAGATACCTCGTAATCCCCCTCCGCACCCACCCCTCAACCCTTTCCCCATCTCCTACTTAACTCCATAATCCAAGCCCCAAAACCCGCCGGCCTTCCCAAATCCCAATCCCCCTTTCCCAAATGTCTATCATCTACGACACCTCTCCTGTGCACTGCGCAGCCAAAGAAAAAATCCCACTCCAACGCATCAAAAAACTCAACAAAAAGCTCTTTTTCGCTCTCTCCTCCCTCCTCCTCTCCCTCCTCTTCCTCTTCCTCCTCTTCTTTCTAATCCTCCACCCGTCAAAACCCCGATTCCACCTCCACGACGCCTCTCTCTACGACTTCAGCCTCTCCTCCCCGCCCCTCCCTCGCCTCCTCAACTCCACCATCGAAGCCACCATCGCCTCCAACAACCCCAACACCCACGTCGGCGTCTATTACGACCACCTGCGCGCTTATGCCGTCTACAAGGGACAACAGATCAGTGCTGAAGCAGAGCTGCCGCCTTTCTACCAAGGCAACGGCGACACCGATATCCTCTCTGCTTCGCTTGTGGGTGTCGGCATGCCGGTGGCGATGTCATTGGGGTATGAGGTTGTGAGGGATCAGATGAACGGGAAGATGGTTCTGAGTATTCGACTGGATGGTGTGATGAGATGGAAGGTGGGGAGTTGGGTGTCTGGGAAGTATAGGTTTGATGTGGATTGTGTGGCTGTGATTGGTTATGGCGGTGCTGGCGGCGGCGGCGTGACCTACAAATGCAAACAAGCTTCTTTAAAAAATAACATTTGTAAGTATCGATTAGTTTAATGCGAAAAGATCTTGAAATCTATTATTAAGATAATGAAATCAAGGGTGGTTGCACTCAGGATTTCGTAAATCCTCTAAATTCAGATTTATGAAATCCTGCAAGGGTTAAATCCTGAAAATTATTTGGTAACATTCAAGATAAATCATGTATGACTGTTTGGCTATAGAGTGTTAAATCCTGAAACGAGTGGACTCGTTTTCTCTCTCGCGCCAATAGAGCGTTAAATTCACTGATTCAGAGGATTTCAGAAATCCGGAATTTACTATGAAAATGGGTAATTTTTTGCCTATTGCGGCTTTCATTTGACGTGAGATTTGGTTTTGCATTTTAGGCCGTTTGGTTAGATTTTGCTCAAATCCACCTCAAATTTGGTCTAAATCCTGCTTCCAAACAGCCCTTAAGTCATCATTTTTCCTTTCAGAATTCAAAATTATTGAAGAAAATATTTTCATTATAAAAGTTTTCGTTTGGGATTGATTTCTTATTATTTTTCGTTGTAATTTTTTAATATAAAAAATTTTAATTTAAAATGATTTTTATATCACTTTAAAAAGCAATGGGAAAGGTGTTTCAAATGAAACTTCTGTGAACAAAAAGCAGGGTTGAAAAAGGTATTTGAGTGGATTGGTTTGGGCTTGCTTTGATGATAATGGTGGTTTGATGGAGTGGGGTCTCAATGATTGCGAAAAGAATCGTATCACTTTGGTGCAAGTAAATAAGGCAAATCCCAGTATATTCATGGCCTTTTGTTAGAAAAATTATTAGGTTCGGATATCACTTTTTACTCGGTACTGAGCTTTGTATGAGCTCGGTACTTCACAGTACTGCTCGGTACCGAGCTCGATGCTGCTCGGTACCGAGCTCAGTACTGCTTGATACTGTAAAATACCGAGTTTAGTATTACTCGGCACTATGAAGTATCGTTCGCAGTACCGAACGATAAGTTGTGTCCGGTGTCCGAACCCAAAAATCTCCTTTTGTTGAGCAGTTACTCTTTCCTTTTTCTTCTTCGTTGACGAAGAAGAGATTAATGACTTGATGGATGGTTCCTAGTAATCAAAACATTCTGAAGTGGCCATTCATTTAACAGATTTTTCAAAATCATTAACCCAATTCTCACAATAATTATTCATTAAACTCTGCATAAACAAGATAAAAAAAAGTAAAAGCACAGAAACTCATAGAGGCTGAAACTCGTGTCATTTAGGCACTTATAGGCTCTTACTATTTTGTAAAGCTAATGTAAAAAGCTAATTTTTTTTAAATTGTTGTAGAAATCACCTTTTTAGTATAAAAATTTTTTGAAAGCAAAAAAAAAAAATTTGCCGAACAAAATTTGTGATTGCATTTTGAAAAGCAAAACATGAAGAAGCGGTCCCAAATGCAGTCTAATTAATTCTTCAAAAAATAAATATGATTTAAGTTATTTTTATGCCATTTTTGTTGGGGATGTGAACACCACGTAACAAATAAATAAATAAAAAAAACAAGAAAAATAAGAATGCAGCAGAAAGTAATTGACACTAGAATTTAATATGAAAACAATTGAAATCGAGAGAAAATCACAGAGTCATCTCACACAAAAAAATTTATTATAAATAGTAAAAAGTTACTTTCTAAAAGAGAATAAAAAAATCCTCTCTGGTATGATGAATATTACAAATATTTACATTTATCAAAACTTTTGAAGAACACAAAGTTACCCTTCTGACCAAGACTTCATTAGAATGGTTTTCTTACTATTTTTTAAAACAATTTTTTAGCATAAATTTTTTAATTTTTTAACTAAAAAATTACTTTAAAAAATAATAAAAATAATCGTCCCAAATAAAGCCCAACTTCTCAAGCAGATAAAGCTCAATTACTTGAGATGCTATTTATTTCTTCAGTCTTCAGATAACCAAGGTTATGGGTAATGTAGGGCCGCATGTCTGCTCCTCTTTTGTCCGTTTTGCATCACAATGAGGTAAGGCTTTATCTGAGTAATTATTTCGGAGTTTAGGTATTAGTACTAAAGAGAAGCGGCCGCATTAACTATTAACCAAAATGAAATCTAAGTACCTTAAGAAAATGCCACTCATTTGATGAATTCCACACAACAAGAAAGAGAAAATGCAACGAAAAGAAAGTGTTAGTCTGTGTGGAATCTAATTATGTTGATCAATTGGGATGCACTACTATCTCAGACCTCAGTTCAATTTATCGTGCTCACTTAGGGGGAGGGATCCTCCCCCTGCTTGAGTTCGGGAGCTTTGCACTAGAGAAGAAATATGTTTTACATACAACGCCACAACTATTTTCCCAAGCGACCCGGCGATGTGTGCCTGAGCGTCCCGGTGCTGTACTCCTGAGCTACAGAGTTTGCTAGGAGAATCAACATAAATCGGAGCGCCACAATGCTTTAGATTCAGCGCCACACTCTTGCTGGTTTGAAAACTGCATCATCGTTATAACTTGAAATGGCTTTAATTGTTGATTCATCTGTGTCAACTTGAAATGGCTTCTTGAAGCCAGACAATGCTAACACTGGGGATGAACACAACACTAACTTGATTCACTAGAAACTCCTATGATGCTTGTCGGTCCAATTGAAGTTTTTATGCTTCTAATAGTCTGTTATGGGAGCCATGATGGTGCTAAATCCTCGAATAAAATGGCTGTTGAAGTTGGTGAGTCCATGAAAATGTAAACATCAAATAGTGAGCGAGGAATAGGCCACTCAACTATGGTTGCAACTTTGTGTGGATCAACTTCAACTCTTCCGACCGATACAATGAAGACAAAGAAATATACTCGAGATGTAGCGAACTCACATTTAGCAAGATTGAGGTATACTTTGTTCGCTTGTAGAGATTGAAAATTTTGAGTTAGATGTTCTACATGCTATGCCAATGATGTGCTAAAGACAATAATATCATCAAAATATACTGCACATAATTATTCTAAGAATGATTTTATTACCTCGTTCATGAGTCACATGAAGTTAGCGGGTGCATTACAAATATCAAAAAAAGCATGACCTTCCATTCATATTAGCCTTGGCATGTCTTAAATGCAGTTATCCATTCTTCATTGGGTTGAACACAAATTTGATGGTAAAAATATTGTATCCCACTAATTTGTGCAATAAATCTTTGACACAGGGAACAAGAAAGTAGTATTTTGCTGTAATTTTCTTAATTACACGGTTGTCAATGCACATCCACCACTTGTCATCTTTCTCAAGAACTAGGAGTACTGCCAATACAACATATAGTAAGAGTAGTTGATTGCAAATTCTCTGAAGCATTTTTAGTACTGCAATATTTATATCCTCATTATGTTCAACCAAAAATTGTAGGTGAGAAATTTTTTATTGATTTTTAAATTTATAAAATTCGTCACATTCTCGAAAAACTAACCATTGTCTATTAAAAAATCCTCACATAATAAGCGGAAGTATTTACAAGAGTACTATATTCAATTGTAGCTCAAATTAATTACTTCTGAAAGTCAAATCCAATATGTTGACTCTTTTTCATTAAATCTTCACAATTTTATCACGCGTTAATGTGACCACTAGAAGGGCTTACAACGAAGTTCAAATCTATCTAGATTTCTTCAATTAATTTTTTAAAATGCCTTCTCATCATCTTTTATTGTGCCTTCAACTCTAAGAAGATAAGAACATATATAATATGTTTTTTAACTATATTTTCTAAACCATTTAGAGTATCTACCACATCAGCTAGGATTAAAACTTCTTTCTTTGATCACAGATTTACTTTTAAGAAAATCGTGATTGTGAGGCTAACATGGTTTCTCATTGCATTAGGTCTACATTCAGAAATAAGAATTTGAAATCTATGATCTGATTGAAAATTTTTTAAATCCATTTGCAGATTTTTCTAATGAATTAATCTCTATTTGACTTCGTTTTTTATTTTGTTCATTGGCGATCCCTTTTATTTCATCTAAATTTATTGATAATTTTGATTTAAATGATTTCTTAAAAAAAAAATCTCTCTATGAACCTATAAGTTGAAAGAAAAATTCATATGGAGCAACCATCACAAAAAAAAAAAACTTTTGTAATTTATCACCTCGAAATTGGTTGATGAATTCGAGAAAAAAGATCTTTAATTATTCACTTTGTACACCGATAGAAAGAAAGATAGCTTTTTTTTTTTTCATTTGAGTCAATTAAGATAAATTCAAACATATATCATATAGGCAAGTTTTTAATCCAAAATTTTTTGGCGGGTAGCCAAAGCACTCAACCAACCGATCAAGATAAGTTGTACAAGGCGGGATTTGAAAGACACCATCGAATCTGTATGACAAATTTGAAATATGGCAGGTGATGGTGAGATCTAACATGCGATGCAACCTTACAAGGTGATAGTAGTGATGGTGATTAGGGGTAACTACGGGTGCCTTTGAATTGGGAAAAAAAAGTATGTAATTACATTTAGGGTAAATTAATTAGTAAGTAATTTGAAAACTTTGTTGAAACAAATCCCCCACCCCCGCTCAGAGGGGGCCTATGGGGGCATATGCCCCCCTCCGAAATTTAGAAAAAACTCGTGTAGGGCGCTTCCTGCGAACAATTTCAAAAAAAAATTATAGAATCAAGTTTGCAAGCATATCTTCATAGATTATATCGATTTTTCATAATACATATAAACATTAAAGTGATTAATTGAATCTCATATAAAAATCAGCTAAAACAATATTAAAGTTGGGCCCCACTTTAAAAATTTGTGGCTTTGCCACCGCCAACGCTTCACAAAGAAATGGATAAATGGCTTGCATTAGATTTATTATTATTGCCCCTTCAAAGATTGTGATATATTATATTATATTTAAATGTTAACTCTTTTTTTTTTCTTTTCCAAAAACTATACTTATGAAAAAAGAAATGCTCAAAGAGAAATATCATTCAATATATTTATTTTTTTAACATTATTTTTATATCATTTAATAATAATAAAAAGATTCATTATCTTCTCATTCAATTTTATTAATATTTTATATACCAAATGAAAATTGCGTTTGAATTAGTTGTGAAAATCATTTGTTATTTTTAGAGGACATTTTAGCAAAAAATAAAATAAAATCCTAATAAAATAACACATTTACATTTGCCAATGCCAATTTCATGGAGAGCACAATCACTTCAAACCCTCTATTTTGATGCCTAATTACATCAAAACATAATTTTCTAGAACATAATGCGCCCTAATTACAATTAACCATAAATTATTTACACTCTTAAAACATACCAACAAAACCAACCCGAACCAACAAAAGAGAACCAAACACCAGTACCCGACTCTCCGGCCACCGACAGCCACCCGGCCGTCAGGTGTCGACATCGCATTCACTTTGGCCAAGCAACGGCACCAGACCAGATACTCCCTTCTTCAGCCCAACAAGCACATCACACTTAACATACACATTAACCCACCCACTCTTAAACGGGCCCGGCCGGTACTTTAGCCGACCCGTAATCACCAACCTTAGCGGCACCACTCCAAAAGCCTCCTCCGTCATCAAGCCTGCCTCCACCTCCGCCGAAACGGGAACGGCTTCTCCTCCAATCACCGGCGATACAGTCACCGTTCCGTCGGACACCTGGTAAAGCAACGGCAGCGATGTCGGCGGAGTTATGGGTTGGTCGCGGTAGGCGACGTAGGCGCAGAGGCGGTCGTACTGGATGGATGTGCGGCCGTTGGAGTTGTGGATGGATATGGTGAACTGGAAGGAGGTGGAGATGGCGGAAGCGGGGGCGGCGGAGGTGGCGTTGGTTAAGCGGTAGATGGCGGCGGACAGGACGGCGAAGTGGGGGTGGGAAGGGCGGTAGACGAGATAGAGGATGAGAACGGTGATGCCGGCGAGGATTACGAGGGTGGCGAGGGCGCAGCAGAGGAAGCGGGCGGTGGTGTCGGGAGAGTAGCGGGATAGGACGGTGTTTTTAGCCATTATAGTTAGGGAGTATGGAGATGAGAGAGGGAGCGGGGAAGTAAGAGGGATGATGGGATATATAAAGGAGGGTGTTGATGAAGGAAGCTGGAATGGAAGGCGGTGGTGGCGGTGGTTGGGTGATGTGTAAAAATGAGAACTTTCGTCTTCCACTGAATTAATTCTTTTGGTTTTTCTTCTGTTTCTTTTGCAGACCTTGAGGCTTTTTATGATCGGCAGCTCATGAATAATTGAATCATGGGGTTTGGCAATAAAAGTAAAGCTTCACTTTCCCAAATAATAATAATAATAATAATAATAATCTATTTTTATTTTATATTCATTTAAATAATTTTTAATATTTTAAATCAATTAAATTTTCTTTTATATTAATTATTTTATTCTGCAAATTTTTTTTTTAAATCAACACTCAACAGCTTTCTAATATCTTAAAAAAGTGAAATTTTTAATATTTTTATAAATTCAAAAAAATATTTTGAGAGAAAAGGGGGAGATATATATGGATTTTTTTTAAAAAAGAAGAACAATGAGTCTAATTAATTCTAAAAACTAATTTTTCTTAATAGGTTCAAACGGTAATTTTAATTCTATTGAGATTTTTAAATTAGGTTGATTTAAGTGAGATTTTTTGTTATATATATAAAACTAAGAAATAGAAAAACAAAATGTTGGATTTCTAAGAAAGATTATGCTCGAATCATTAATAGGGCTTTAAATTATTATTTAAGAACTCAAATTTGAATTAAAAAAGAGGAAGGAGAAGAATATTCTTGGTATGCCCTATTAGAGATATTTACATCCTTTTTACAAAGAATATTTTATCGATGATTCAATAATTTATAAAATGATGATATGAGAAATGTTATCTTCAAATCTATATAGGACCAATATGCTCAAAATTAATGAAATTTTTTATCATTTGATAAATCAAATAGCGAAGAATCAAATTAAATAATCTTTGAGATAATTGCTAACCCATCATACATTTTAAAGTTATGATGAATGGATCAATGAAGATCCTAAGTCTCGAGATTATTGATGACCGTGATCTAAATTGAACAATCAATTTTATGTTGAAGTGCTATCAGGTAAAAATCAGTTACCATCAGAATTATGCTACATAATTCATATTGAGAACTCCCCAATTCATCACATAATAAAGTTCAAAGTACACTCTAAACCCTAAAAACTAATTGAGCAATTAACTGAAAAATTTATCTTATAAAAGATTTGTCACACACATCCTTCTACTAAGCAAGCCGCAGGTTGACAGATTCATAATTGCGTTACAAAAATGATGCTTGCTTAAAGTTTAAACCACGAATATGCGACATTCATCATTGTCCTAGCAATATATTGAGGAAGCTTTAACACATCTACATAAAGGCTCACTGAATTCTCATTAATAATTGAAATATATTCCAAGATATAAATTTTCTATCATAAATCAACCTAAATTAATTAAATGCATATATATATATATATATCCATTTTTCTCACTTCTCAATTACTAGACAAATTACCTAATAAAGGGGTCTCTTTGGGGCAATTTTCTCAATTTTTTTTTTAGATTGTAGCTGTAATTTTGGTTAGCTATTATTTTCTTATTGCTTTATTTTAATATTTTTTTGTGATTGGATGATGTTTTTTGTAAATAGAGTTTCTAATGTGTGTGGCTTTAAAATTTTTCGATTAAAACATATTTATTATGTCTACGATAGTTAAAAAAAAAATCCAGTAGAAGAATTTCAGAACCACCGTTATAAAATGATGCAACCTTTTCGAACAGTAGGGGTATCAAAATGGGTTGGGTTCGGATCCAACCAGAGTTGACCCTAACCCGACCCAGTTTTGCAAATGGGTCAGTATTGTCTACCCGAACACGACCCGTGCGGGTTACCGAGTTGACCTGACCCGACCCACGTGGGTTAAAATCACATGCATTTGTGTGCGCTACAGGACGTTAGGACAGAACGTTTGGTGATTGGCGGACGTCAGAACGGAACGGGTCCAACGCGGTCAGATGTGGTCACACCAAAGGGCGAAAAGAAGAGGTCATGCCCACAGTTCCCATGTCAAACCGGATTGATTTTGGGTTTTCGGGTCAATCCGAATCCGACTAGATTTTAAAAATGGGTCGGAATTCTGAACCTTAAATCCGACCCATTTCTCAAACATGTTGACCCTAACTCTGAATTTTAGGGTCGAGCGCAGGTCGAATTTTTTGGCCATGTCAAATTTTGACACCCCTACTGAATAGTTTTTAAATGAACATATACGACTTTAACTTAAGCTGATAAATAAGTTGATTAGTATTTTATCCGCTTATAGTTGAAGTTAATCAATTATTGCTTAAATTATTATGAGCTTTATCATGATATCGATTTGATTTGATTAATTTTTAAGTTATTTGTTTATGCCAAATGAAATTTTCTGTGTAAAGTGATGTAAAGGTAAGTTATAATTGAGCAAAAGCAAGTTAAAAAGAATATGTTATGATTTTTTTTTTAATAACTGTAATCTAAATTTTAACTAATCTTTCATATATCATATTTATTTGAAAATAAATTTCTTCATTTTAAAATTATTTTTGTTAAAATTTGTTGAGATTATTGATCATTTTTTTAAAAGTTTCAATTGAATCAATAATCCTTCAGGCTATTGGATAATTACTGGTTTATGTTGGCTGTTGTAGATAATTGGATGAGAGATCTGTCTTTTTTATTATTTGATTTTTGTTTTGTTTTGTTTTTATTTTTATTTTTTTATTTTGATATTTGGGCTATGATGATAAACTTATACATTACAAATGTAAGCTTCAAATTCAAGACCTATTGATTATTGTTGTGGGCTTGAATATACGCGGAGATAAATTTTTAATTCTACGTCTTAGCGTTGCACGGATATCCAACTCACACACAGGAGATGAAAGAACACCAGGATTTTTACATAGAAAAGTCTGGAAAGGGAAAAACCACGGGGCCACGCTCAGTTAAAAGAGTTCCAATAGTGTTTGCTTGAGATACAAGAGGCTGACTCGTCCTTAAAATTTAGGATGATCAGATTAAAAATAATTCACTTCCGGATTGAAATGTAGTTACAAACAAGTTGTGTTTTCGAGATGATTTCAGAGTCACTCGAAGATTAGACAGAATTCGGCATCACTTGGAGATCGGGCAGAGTTCTGGCGTCACTAGAAAGTCGGGCGCAATTTCGGCATCACTTGGAAAGTCGGGCGAAATTTGGCATCGTTTCAAAGTCGGGCAGAATTTTGGCGTCACTATGAAGGCAGACAGAATTCTGGAGTCGTTTGGAAGTCGGGCAGAATTCCACCGTTACAGGGAACTCGGGCAGAATTCTGGCGTCGTTAAGAAGTCGGGCATAAATCCAGCGGTGGTCGAGGAGGAGTTTCTTCCATCCTTCCCTTCTCTTCTTCTTATTCAGGCTTTTTTCTATCTTTCGTATTTGACTTTTCCTACTCAAATTTAGCGCTCTTCTTTGTCGAAGCAATTCTGTAAGTTCAAGAAAGAGTGTAGAGGATATCATTGAACCCATCAAATGATATATATTTTTTTATACTTTTTTTTTTATGTGTAATTAATGAAAATGAATATGTTTCACTTGTTCTTCACGTCTAACTAAATTCTCTAGTTTTTTATTAATTGTGTAAATGAAATATGGAGTATTAATGAATTCTCTTCATTAATAATTTCAAAATATTTTTAATATATATGGTATACATTTAATACATATAGTGGTTATATGTGTAGATAATATCAATGGTAATGTTTATTGTGGAGCTTAGAAATATGATTGATAGAGCTAAAAGTAATTTTTATATAAAAAAAAAATCTAAGCATTATTTAAGGATTGATATAACCCAAAATCATTTTCACAATTTTTTAGGTTACTCCAAAAACTGTTGTGGGCTTGAATATACACGACGATAGAGTTTTAATTCTATGTCTTAGCGTTACACGAATATCCAGCTCACACACAAAAGATGAAAGAATACCAGGATTTTTACGTGGAAAACTCTGGAAAGGGAAAAACCATTGGGCCACGCCTAGTTGAAAGAGTTCCACTAGTGTTTTCTTGAGATACAAGAGGCTGACTTGTTCTTAAAATTTAGGATGATCAGATTGCATTGATTCACTTCCGGATTGAAATTCAGTTACAAACAAGTTGTATTTTTGAGATGAATTCAGAGTCACTCGAAGATTAGATAGAATTCTGACATCACTTGGAGATTGGGTAGAGTTCTGTTGTCACTAGAAAGTCAGGCGAAATTCCGGCGTCACTTGGAAAGTTAGGCGGAATTCCGGCATCGTTTGGAAGTCGGGTAGAATTCCCGGCGGTGGTCGAGTATAAGTTTCTTCCCTCCTTCCCTTCTCTTCTTCTTCTTCTCTTTGTCTTCTCTTCATCTTTTTGCTTGGGTCCCCTCTTAAGAGAAATGAGAGGCTATTTATAGTTTTTTGAGGAAGGCATTACCCATAAATAGGGGGAGGATTAAGGGCAAATGTGGAATGGTTCGGATGGACGACCAATATTGAATCCCTTGATATTAGATCGTTTTCAAAGATTTGAATGTCTTAATGATATCAGAATTTGATGATATTGGGCTCGTTGGATTTGTCTCACCGAGCCGTTCAATTCGACTATAAGCATGTTATGTTTGAAAACCGTTTGATAATCCAAATTGTGGTTTAAACTTTCCAACAACGCTTCAGGTCTTCAATTCAGACTCATTTTGGGCTCGGATTGAGTTGAATTTGGTGTCGTTGGATTTGTATTTTTGATACGCTCAGTTTGACTGTAAAGTTTGCTGAAATCAAAGTTTAGAAGATCCCAAATTTAATTTTTGAAACTTCCAACTTGGTTTTGCCTCGAGATTTGTGCCCGATCAAGATAATTTTGGCATGATATATCAATTATAAACTAAAAGTTCCATCAATAGACCAAAGTGAGATGTGTGGTGTTCATTTTTCAATAAAGCCTAAAACTACACCTGTGCGGCCTCACTCCCCTAATATCGTGTAGAAATATTCCTTTCTCAATTTGTACTTCTCACATTTCATCCTTTATAGCTACCACATTTTTTTATTTAAAAAATACAATATACACTACAATATACGTTATTGATTCACAAATTTTAAGCATATTAATTTTTTTTTATATTGAAAAATGAAAATAATTTCAAGTAGATTTTCTCCTTCAATTTTTTTTAATAAAATATGATTAAGATATCATATTAATTATAAATATTTCATTAAAATTTATAATAATCATAGATTTAAATCAATATTTTTGGCTATGAGATATTTTATGAACTTTAATCGTTCTTATAAATTTTATAGGTTATATTACAATTAAGTCTACATTTTCAAGCCATCTAGGAAAAACAAAAAAGAGAGCTTTTCGAAGATGGAAGAGGTCTTGCTATTTTTTATTCTTATAAGTGGAAAAAACTTTAGGCTATAGCAAGAAAAAAACTTCAAATTTGGACTCCTAAAATAGAGAAGTACAACAATAAAATGTCTTCTTCTTTCCAACTCTATCTTTAGAGAATTAGAGTATATCATTTTTATCACATACTTTAGATGAAATATATTTCTCATAAGATAATTATTTCTTTTTAACATAATATGATTCCTTAAGGTTGTCTAACACTACGAAAGTTAGCTCTTAATCTAAGAAGGACAAGAAGAGGTAGCATTGATACCGAAGAATTGAAGAGTTATCTAATTAGGGTGATTCAACTAGAGTATTGATGAGCATATTATAACGTTGAAATAGACATGAATGGGCTTGAGAATTCCAACATTAGTTGGTTAAGTTCACAACTAAAGCACAAGTATCATGTATCAACCATTCAATATACTTTAACTCTAAGTGAGTCGTAAAAATATTTGTGAGCTCCATAGACTTTAATGTATTTTGCCTAGAAGGAAGAATTTGGCTAAAATTATTAAAGTTGTGGAGCCTAATTTTAATCATATAAGAAAATGTGCAAAATAGATTAGATGTGTCAAAATTTATGGTTCATGGGTGTTGAATATATATTTGTTTGGGTTGTGCTATCATAAACATTACCATAGTTACCAGAAAAGAATGGATATAGGTTGTGAGCCTAAGAAACCCAAGAGATAAGAGAGACTTCGGGAATTTTATTGCTAACATCAACTATATAGAGAAATAAATACATACTTGGTGTAAAGTCTTTGGGCTCATGCCTCTCTCTCTCTCTCTCTCTCTCTCTCATATGTATATACACACACACAAACACACAAGAGAGAGATAGAGAGAACCCCGGAATAGACTTCAGGCATTTTAATTAGACTTTGAATGACTCAACTGTTGAATTGGTTTCCTTGAATAACACTTTAAGACCATCCGCTATTAGTATTGACTTGACCAGAGGAAACTATTATGGTACTTTAAGAGATTTAAAAATATATAACCATGAATTATACTAATACATACGTATCTAAATAAAATATTAGAGATTTAAAAATGTTTAGACATAAGAAAAACACACATTATATATAAAAAAATATAAATGACAAATTTAATAAAATCATACATAAAATAAATCCTATACAAACCATAAAAAAAATAGCCTCTTCACCATCCAAATTCAAATAAATGGTAATACATTGGCATACTCCCCTCTCATTTTCTTTTGTTGATAAACATCAACAATAAGATTTAAATAAACTTAATACTATCATTTGATACATTTAAATGTTCACTTCAATGTAATACAATAAAAAAATTACTCCAATTTAATAGCCTAGGCCAATATTATGAACATTAATATATATAGAAAGATATAGAATCAGGCTAACTAAGGTCCGTTTGGGACTGCTACAATTTTTATAAATGTGGTTGTTAACTTGCTGTGAAAAAAATAATTTTTTTTAAGTTGTTGTAGAAAATAACTTCATAGTACAAAAATTTAATGAAAACATTGGCCAAATAAAAACTTTGGATGAGCTTTGAAAAGAAAACTAATAAGAAAGTTATCCCAAACGAAGTCTAAATTTTTAAATGTGTCAATGAACTCATCACCCATAGCTTAGAAAGCCGCTTAAAATTTCAAAATTATGAAATCTTCACCAAATTATTTCAAAAGCTCACAAAACTTAGAATTGAGAATTAGAGTAATAGAGGGTGGACTGAAGTTCAGGGTCCGTTTGATATAGTTGTGGTATTTTATAAAGGAGATTATAAACCTACCGTGCAGAAAATATTTTTTTTTGAAAGTTGTTATAGAAAATAGCTTTCTAACACAAATAGTTATTGAAAGTAGTGAAAAAGTTGAGAGTTTTGACTATCAATCAAGATATCTTATATTTTAGACTTATTTATATGATGTGTGTGAATTTAATTTAATTGATTTAAATGTCTAAAACAAAATTTTAAATATAAAAATTTAAATATTTTTAAATTCTGCAACGAGGATTCGAAGAGAAGTTGCTCCTGCGGAACAGCTGACCGAGCTTCTAGTCTATCCGATATCGGATTAGGCTCCACGCGGGGGCAAGCGCTTGCTGCTTTCTATCATCCACATTGTTCCAAATCTTTCCTCCCTCGCCTTCGATTTCGCTCCTCTCCTCCTTCCCTTCTCCGCTTCTGTTCCATTCCAAAGAACAAAATCTACATCACAACGTTCAAAAAACCTTAATAAAGCTTTACTTATCATTCACCCAATCCTCTTTTTACCGAGCTTGAGGATGACGACTGCTACATGGGTGGCCGGGCATGCTGTCCTTCCACGGCATCTCTGCTGCTCGTGTTCCTCTTCCTTCCCCCCTCCTCTTTCCCACTCCAAAACCCTAACTTCCAATCCCAATACATTTCCTTCTCTGCATTCAGACTTCCTTGGCAACCCATCCGCCTCTTTCCTCTCAGTTGCTACAATCCGACCCGCCGTGGCCTCTCCTGGGCCACGCAGCCTTGCCGTCCGCATGTCATGGGACGGCCCTCTCTCCTCTGTTCGGCTTATTGTCCAAGGAAAGAACTTCGAGGTATTTATTTATCTCTGCGCCGTGCTTCTGCAGTTCTGTGTTTCACATTAGGTTTTTATTTTTTTGGTTAGTTGACGGATTCAGTGAAGAAGTATATCGAGGACAAGGTAGGAAAGGCCGTGCAGAAGCATTCTTACCTCGTCAGAGAGGTCGATGTTCGACTTTCCGTCCGCGGGGGTGAGTTTGGGAGAGGTCCCAGAGTTCGCAGATGCGAGGTAACTCAGGATTTCTCTATTCACGCTGTGTTTTTTTAAGAGTTGATTGCTTATAACTGAATTTAGCAATGTTATCGAACATACGTTTGTTATTAATTTGACTGATTATATTTGTGCAATCTGATGCTACATTGTCTCTTCTATCAGGTGTCTCTCTTTACCAAGAAGCATGGGGTTGTGCGTGCAGAGGAGGATTCTGAGACAGTATATGGGAGCATTGATCTGGTTTCATCCATCATACAAAGGAAATTAAGGAAGATCAAGGAGAAAGATTCAGATCATGGCCGTCATATGAAAGGATTCAACCGTCTTAAGGTTCGGGATCCTGACCTGAGCGTAGAAGAGGAAGAGGAGGAAGACGAAGCTGAACAGTCTGTACCTCAGGAAGAGGATGAGAACATCTTGGATGAGGTTCGTATCTATAATACATTTACGATCATCTTAGTTAGCTTTTTCACTGATAGCATTTCCGAAATCTAGGATATTATTTCAAAAAGGTTATTTCTTTTAATCTGTTCATGATGTGGCATCTGATTTTATTATCTTCATATATAAGATTATGATTGTTGTCGGTTGGAGGCCGTGTCAGGAGAGTGAGAGAGTTATGTGTTTCGTCATCTTATAGTTGCCAAACACAATCAGAAAAATTAAAGTGAATAGGGAACATCAAACTTTTGTATTGGGAAAGCTGGAAAGGGGGAAAGGTTAATGCTATGGGGTCTTGCCAAGCAAAGTTTTTCACTAGTTGCAGTATGGAATTACAATCAGCCGCCATTCTGCAAATTGGAGAAGACGTCAGTATAATGTAAAAGATCTAGATTGTGGAGAAAGTCTTTTGTGGTAGTGGAGTAGATAGCCCATTATTGTTGATGGGAATGGCGACTAACAACAATTGTGAAAGTATCTCCTAGGAGGGGAGAATTGAATGGTCTGAGTTTGGGAGTGATGGAGTCGGTCGGGATAGTTCATTTTCTTGACGGAGGGGGGAAATTAGCTACCTAGAGTCGACGGGGAAGTGAATGTACGTGAATCAATCTCTCTTTGAAGGAGGGGAAATTAACAACCTAAAGTCGGTGAGAGGGGTGGGGAGGAGAATAGTCACTCTGTTGAAAAAGAGGGGACTATAAAACCTTAAAACGTAGCGTGGAGTGGGTATTAGATCACCAAAATAATAGACTAGAGCTTCTGGTGGTGGTCAAAGCTTTGGATTTCTTTACATGGAACATTCAAAATGGTCTTGAAGAGAATGATTGTGACATCGTGCAAGGTTGTTGGGACGATGATTGTGCTACAAGTGAGATTGTAGTGCGGGTTTCAAAGCAGATAACTCAACACAAATGAGGTTGTGAAAAAAGTCTTGTAGTGTTGACACCAATGATGCAAATGAGGTTGTGATGTAAATTTGGAGGGAATGATTTTGGCACTTGCATATTTGTGATGTAGATTTTTAGGGGGCTGAATACTCATAATATTTCCCATTGCTCTTGGTTTCCTTGAACTGGGCATACCTTAACTACTCCTTAATGACAACAGCTCATAGGATTTTTCCATGATGTCGACATTTGTTGGTCAGGAAAATAACACCACACACCCTTGTGCTTGGAAAATTATAAAATGCCTTGACTAAACATATTTGAGATATATTTGTAGATTTTGAGTAGGGCATTTCGATTGTTATTGAAACTAAATTAGAATATTCCATACTTTTAAACAATAGAAGGGCTAGAATCTAGATCATACCTTCCATAATTGGATTGCTATTTGTTGACATTTTTTTCCTTATATTTGTTCTTTAAAATTAGTGATTCATTTGCATGTATAATTGATTATTGAAATCTAGCATAACTTAAAATACATAATGCATTTTACTTCACAAATCTTAGTTTCTGATTTGAGATCACATTACACCAACATGTTTCATAATTGGAGATCATAGAACATCAATACAATCTTTAGTCAAAGATCACACAACACCGGTGTAGTATTTTGTTGGATATCATACGAGTTTAGCACAAACTTCTACTTCAATATCTTATCACACACAACATCTCCATCACATTCATTAAAAGATATATTCACCATTTGAACCTTATGCCATTACAAAGATTAAGCAGAATAAAAGAGAAATCTACCATGCAACTAATTGTGCATCATTATCATTTTTATTATGGAAGAATTATGAAGTCTAAATTAACCATTTAGAAAATGAACTACAAAGAATGGGTTAAGCATCCTCCAGTTGAAGTGGGCATGTGGAATTGGGGTTGTTTGCCTTCCTCGAGCTATTAACTACTTATTTTGTTGGAGGTCTCCTCACCTAGCTTTAGCAAGGCCAATTATCTTTCTTAATATAATCAGTGGAACAGTAACCTCAATCATTAGATTACTTTTGTTTATACTTTTTTATAGTAAAGGTAAGCATGATATCAATGTTTGATTAACTGTCCACTTGGCAAGTCATAACTTGATAATAAGTTTCTTTGATTAGGATGCATTTGAAAATCCAAAGGGTTGCTTCTCTAATGGCAATAAGCCCCTTTGAATTCGGTTGCTGGACGGAGGTGATCTTTAAAGGTTTTCGTATAATTGCTTGAAGGTCCTGATAAAAGTATAAGTTGTTGCATATTTGGTTGGCGCATCCTAACCTAGATCTGCTACACCAAGTTTGACAAAATCCACTCTGCTATTCAATTAAGTTGGCTAACCATATAACTAAGTTGATCCTTGCCCTGTTGAACTAGTTTGTTAAATCCAAAGGGTTTCTTCTCTAATGGCAACACAACTTGGCTTGTCAAACGATATTCTTCGAGTTAACCACTCCAAAAGGGGTTGGCAACGCATCTGCCTATTGGACCTCTTGACCATCTTCCCCAAATCTTGTAAGCTTAAGCTGAATTATTTTTTAGAAGAAATTGTAAGTTGGCATGATTTTCCATCTACTATTATTTCTGATGGAGATGTTAGATTTGTATTTTTTTTAAGAAAAGACTTTGGACGCTATTTAGAAATCAATTAAAATTTTCATTTGTTTGTATACACAAATTGATGACAAATTGTGAAATTGAAGTTGTTGCGTCTTTACAAGCTAGGCGACATCATATTGCACCCTCAGTGGTGATGAGTGAATCACTTATACCTTTGCATTTGGCTCAATTGCCATGGTACTGCTCAAGTTTATCTAATCTTCTACTGGATTTCAAGATGCAATGTAAATCGGACCTAAATAGTTAAGTTTGTGGGACTAGGAAAACTCAAATGGTTTATAAGATAGCATTGAATTGCTTGAGGAAGTCAGAGAAGAGTTTTCTCGAAGGCAATGTGAAAATAGATGCTTAATCTTCAACTTACTTGTCTAATCAGGGAATTTCGATCTTGCGAATCTAATCCTACGAAAGTTTACATCTTAGGAAACAAGGATAGAGCTTGCATATTTAAGCGCATAACCATTGATATAAAAATTATTCTCATAATGTTGAAATCTAAAATTTATTTTATGTATTTGTGGATAGAATTTTGGCAAATTCAAGAAAGATCATCTAAGTTGGATGGCAAAAGAACAGTTAAAACGGGAAGATTGAGATAACCTAGGTATCAATATTTCTTTGGATGATGGAGTTACCAAAAACATTTTTTTTCTAAAATTATAAAGTATCTTATATTATCTATTAATAAAATTTATTTTCTTGCCATATTTGTTAGCAAGTTTAAAGGCTATAATTTGCTAACGTTGAGTATGGGTGAAAAGATCAGGTTTCACTTAATCACAAGAAAAACTATGATTAGGTTGCTTTGGCACTAGCTAAACTCACCTTTATTGGAGGAACCATGACTAATTTGTGCCAATTATGTAAGGTAGTGTTCTTTCTTGGAGGCTATAGCTCATATGTATGAGATTTGGTTAAGTTCCCATTGTAGTGCTTTCTAACTATATTTTGAGATGCTACAATTTATTATGTGGCTACCCAATAATACGAACCAGTGAGAAGTGAATCTAATTTGCTATATAAAACTCATGCAATAAAATTTAATGAAAAAGTAACATAGATAAAAAATTTATTTGGGTCTTCATATATGCTACTTTTCATTTTTCATGGAAAGTAAAGCAAAAACTTGATGTGGGCAGGATTCAATCCTAGGATCTTGGCTACAACTTCCAAGATTATAACGACTAAACTAGTACACACCCATATATAAGAGTACTTGAAAATTTCTGTAACCCAACAATTTTACACTGATGGAATTGAGCTTCAACATTTTAGTTGTTGTTATATCAATGAGCTAAACTAGCTAGATCTGAGTGGTTTTCAAATAAGAGAAGCTGGCTAATCATCTAGCTCCAACCTACAAAGTGAATCACACAAAAGAAGAAACCCTATACTAAAAAGTTATGATTAATGTTTTCAAGCTCGTCATTATGCTAATGAGGTTTTAAAACATAGGAGAAGAGACAGATACACTCGAATTTTGATTTAGATGGTGTTGAGTAAGAAGCTAGAATGCAATACGTTCACTTTCTTTTCGATCATATCCAAGCAGTATATTTTATTAATTTTAAAAGGGAATAGCTGCATTTCATACTTTAGAGGGTGAATAACTTTGCAGGCCTAATATTTTCACTCTAATCTTGTAAATTCATATCATTTTTCTCTAGTCTTCTTCATTATCAAATTTGGGTCTATCAGGTTTAGTATATTTGAGAGCTTTATTGAGTCAATACACTAGGCTGATTCATTATTGCAACTTGAGGCACCTATTGTGAATTTGGTTTTTGAATGCTGAATTGACTTGATAGCTTGAAATTTGCTTATTTTGAAGTTGCCCAAATCTCATTTATTAAGAAGCTATCTTGGATCACATTTTTTATAATTTGCACAGGAGCTAACCTTAACTAGGTTCTTAATACTCGAGAGTTTAATTTGGTTGAAAACCTATGAAGCCATCCCCTGGTTGAGAGTATGTTTATGTAGTAATTTCCAACTTTCTGAGTGTACTCGACTATAGCGCTTCATTGACCAAGAAGTTATTGCATGAAAAACTCACCTACAATGTTTAAAATTGCGTAATCGGGTATTTAGGCGTTTTTTGTTCGTGAGGCGAGGCGTAAGCCTCAAGGCGTTTTGAGGCTTCGCCTCAAAATTAAAAGATTGCGTAAACATAAAAAGATAATTTTTTTATATACTAATGAGTAAAAAATATAAAACATAAAAAGACACAAGATATAAAGTGAAATCAAAATATTCCAATAATAAGACAATATGAAATATAGTTATACTTATAAAGAAGCAGACTAACACTAATAACTATTAGTGTAATATATCAAACCCCTAAACATAATGCTTCACTTATTCTACACTAAGAAAATTTATACAAAGCATGCACTCATGAAGAAGCAGACTAACACTAATAACTAT